TCAGAGAAAGACTAATACCACATGATTTCACTTATATGTGGAATTTAAGAAACCAAACAAGGGAAAAATAGAGACAGACAAAGACAAAGCAAATTATGGAGAACAATCTGATACTATGAGAGGGGAGGGTGGGGTGGTGATGGGTTGAATAAGTGATGGGGATTAAGGAGTGCACTTGTGATGAGCACAGGGTGATGTATGAACTGGTGACTTAACTATATTGTATACCTGAAACTAATAGAATGCTCTATGTTAACTAACTGGAATTAAAATAAAAACTTAAAAAAAAAAGAAAAGCATGCAAGATGAAAAGAGCGTTAATGTATTTTGTCTAGAAAAAGATTATCTTAATTCGTAATAACTTATGATATATTTATTATAATTTTTATTTTTATAATGGACCGAGAAAGAAGAATTCGGGTTAAAATGGTTTCACATTATTTAAGTAAGGTGGAAATGACAATATAAGGATTAACAGGTAGACATGCAACCATCTAAAATCAATAAATTTTGCTTTATCTAAAAATTCTTGAGAGCAAGATAGAAACAGAACAGCATGCTCCTTGAATAGATTAGGTCTCATCTTATGTGAACATACAGATGTGAACTACATAACATATTGAAATTTTCCTGAGGTGACACTTTCTTCAGGCCATTAAAAGTTGAAATATGAATATGAAATGCTTGCAAATGAAAGAAATGGCACTTGTATCCAAGGAGCTGTGGAAGGACATTCTCCATGAAAATTATTTCATTTGAGTTATAAAGAGTGTAGAAAACATGATGCGGTAATTTGCATGGTATTGAGTTGATAATTTAAAAACAGTGTTAGTAATCTTTTTCCTTCTTTCTTCTTTTGTGAGAGATACAGTAGAATAGCCATCTGAGCACTAGAGTTAAAGAGTTGAATAATTTAAATAAGAAAGTTGAGAATACCTATACTAACTTCTGATTTTCAGGTTTCCCGAAGGCTGTAGACTGGTTGTTCTTTAGGCCTTTGTAGTTTATTCTTCTATTTAACTGTTCTTAGTGGGATTAGATTTTTTGTCTCCTATATCCTGGTATTCCTCCTTTTTGCTTCACTGTCTCAGTTTGTTAAAGCCATCCTTTGGTAGTCTCCCAAAAATAGTGCAAAGGAGGTAAATTTCTGAGTCGGAGCATGACTGAAAATGTTATCAGTCTAGCCCCACCTGTGATTGGTAGTTTCTCTGGGCAGAGAACTATAGTCAGGGAGATAGACAGC